CAAAACAGTAGTAAAAAAGACACCCAACAAACAAAGAGCCTTGGGCCAAATGGCTTCACAAGTGACTTTTACCAAGGATTCAAAGAACTAACACTGGTCCTCAAACTATTCAAAAAAACTCAAGATGAAGGAAGACTTCTAACCTTATTTCACAAGGTAATTTTTATCTTAATCTCACAATCAGATAGACACTACAAAGAAAGAAAACTGTAGGCTAATTTCCCTGATGAACAGAAGCAAAATATTAGCAAACTGAACTCAGCAATACATTAAAAAGATTATATACCATGATCAAGTGGGATTTATTCTCAGGATGCAAGGTTGATACAGTATTTGAACACCAATTAACATGATACACCAGCTAAACAAAATGAAGGATAAAAATCATACGCTTGTATCAATAAATACACAAACACATTTAACAAAATCCAGCATTTATTGATGATAAAACCTTTCAGCAAATACAGGGAACATATAAGGGAATAAAGAGAACATACCTCACCATAAAAAGATCATATATGAAATCAACACCTAACATACTCAGTGGGGGAAAACTAAACATGTTTCCCTTAACATGTTTAAGATAAGGAATAAGATGGGGATGTTCACTTTTAACAGTCTTATTCAACATAGTTCTCTAAGTCCTAGCCACAGCATTCAGATGAGAAGAAATAAAAGACATCCAGGTTAGATAGGAAGAAGTAAAATTGTCATTATATGCAGATGACATGACACTACATACAGACAACCCTAAAGTTTCCACCTAAAAACTACTAGAAGTGATAACTGAATTCAGTAGAATAACAGAATACAAACAGGTATTCAGAAATCAGTTACATTTTATATACTGATAATATCAAAAAGGGTAACTAAGAAAACAATCTCACCTACAATTGTACCAAAAAATATCTAGGAATAAATTTAACCAAGGAGGTAAAAGACCCATACTCAGAAAATTATAAGACATTCAAGAAAGATATTGAGGAAGATACAAATAAATGGAAGCATATACTGTGCTCATGGGTAGGAAGAATTAATATCATTAAAATATCCATACTACCCCAAAAGAATATATAGATTTAATGCAATTCCTATCAAAGTACCCATGGCACTTTTCACAGAATTAGAACAAATCATCCAAAATTTATATGGAATTACAAAAGACTTTGAGTAGGTACAGCAATCCTGAAAAAGAAAAACAGTTGGAGGTGTCATGCTACTCGATACCAAACTACTGCAAGGCTGTAGTAACCAAAAGAGCATGGTACTATCATAAAAACAGACACAAAGATCAGTGGAACAAAATAGCCCAGAAAAAATTTTATATTCAGTTAATACATGATAAAAGAGGCAAGAACATACAATGAGATAAAGACAGTCTATTCAATAAATGGTGTTGGGAAAATAGGATAAATAAATGAAAATAGACCACCTTCTTACACCATATACAAGAAAAAACTCAAAATGGGTTAAAGACTTAAATGTAACATTCAAAATCGTAAAACTTGCAGAAGAAAATACATGCAGTAAATTGGTATTTCTCTTAGAAATATTTTTTGTTTATATATCTTTTTGGGTAAGGGAAACAACAAAAATAAAATGTTTTCACACAGCAAAAGAAACCATCAACAAAGTGGAAAGAACCTAATGAATAAGAGAAGATATTCACCAGCGATACATCTGATTAGGAGTTAATACACAAAATTTATAAGGAACTCATACAACTCAACACTTTAAAAAAACCAGCCCAATTAAAAACTGGATAAAGGACCTGACTAGACTCTTCTCCAAAGAGGCCAATAGGCATATGCAAAGATGCTCAATATCACTAATCGTCAGAGAAATGCACCTCACACCTGTCAGAATGGCTGTCATTAATAAACCAGCAAACAACAAGGATAGAGGAGGATGCGGAAAAATGGAAACCTTCATGCACTGCTGGTGGGAGCCTGGGTTGGTACAGCCACTATGGGAAAGAGTATGGAATCTCTGCCAAAAATAAGAAATGGAACTGCCTTAGGACCCAGCAGTTCCATTTCTGGATATATATTCAAAACTCCAAACAGTAGTTCAGAAAAATATATACACCTTTGTATTCATTGCAGCATTGTTTACAATAGCCAAGATATGGAAGGAACCTAAGTGCTTCTCAATAGATGAGTGGATAAAAAAGTGGTGGTACACCTTTAACTGGAACCTAATCAACAAAAGAAAGAAGCAAGCAAAATATAACCAGAGACATTAAAATTAAGAACAATCTGACAGTAAACAGAGGGGCAGGGGGAGGGAATAATGGGGGAAGCATTTTTAGGAACAACTATAAAGGACACATGGACAAAACCAAGGGGAGGATGGAAGGAAGGGGAGGAGGTGGGTTTGGAGGGGGCGGGGAGAAAATGCAGCTAACTGTAACTGAACAATGATAAGATAATTTTAAAATAATAAAATTTTAGTAAGTAAAAATGGTGGTACATATAGACAATGACTATTACTCAAAAAAGGAATGAAATTTTACCTTTGTGGCAATATGGATGGACTAGAGAGTATTATGCTAAGTGAAGTAAGTCAGGGAAAGACAAATTTTATATTATTTTATTTATATGTAGAAGTTAAAGAGCAAACTAAACAAAATAGAAACAAACTGGATGAAAACATTCTCCATATCTGTGATTCTGTATCTTGTTTGCTCAGTTTGTTATGTAGATTCAATTGTTGATAGGTAAGTATTTATTGCTATTTTATTGTCCATAGTTTTGGTCTTCTTTTTCTTAAATAAGTCCCTTTAACATTTCATATAATAATGGTTTGATGATGATGAACTCCTTTAGTTTCCTCTTGTCTGGAAGCTCTTTATCTGCCCTTCAGTTCCAAATAATGGTTTCGCTGGGTAGAGCAGTCTTGGCCGTAGATCCCTGCTTTTCATGACTGAATATTTCTTGCCAATCCCTTTAGTCTGCAAAGTTTCTTTTGAGAAGTCAGCTGACAGAATTAGGAAATTCCCCTGCAGGTAACTTTCTGATTTTCTCTTGCTGCTTCTAAGACTTCCTCTATATATTTAACATTTGGCATTTTAATTATGATGTGTCTTGGTGTGGGCCTCTCTGCATCCATCTTGTTTGGGACTCTGTGCTTCCTGGATATGCTTGTCTATTTCCCTCAGCAAATTAGAGAAGTTTTCTTTTATTATTTTTTTTACAAATAGATTTCTGATTTCATGCTCTTTCTATTCTTCTTCTGGTACCCCTATTATGTGAATGTTATTGAATTGCTTGAATTTGTCCCAGAGGCTGCTTACACTATCCTTGTTTTTTTGGGAATCTTTTTTCTTCTTGATGTTCTGACTGGTTGTTTTTTGCTTCCTTATGTTCCAAATGATTGATTTGATTCTCAGCTTCATCTGCTCTACTCTTGTTTCCCTGTAAATTGTTCTTTATTTCAATTAGTGTATCCTTCGTTTCTGACTGGATATTTTTATGCTGTTCCCCACAGAGGTCCTTGAGCATCCTTATAACCAGTGTTTTGAACTCTGCATCTGATAGATTGCTTATCTCCATTTTGTTTAGCTCTTTTTCTGGAGTTTTGATCTGTTCTTTCATTTGGGCCATGTTTTTTGTCTCCTCATGTTGGCAGCTTCTCAAGGATTTCTTTCTTTCTTTTTTTTTTAATGTATTAGGTAGAGCTGTTTTTACTCTTTGTCTTGGTAGTATGGCCTAATGTAGTAGGTGCTCTGTAGGAACCAATGGCGCAACTTTCCCCATCACCCAAGCTGGGTACTCAAGGTATGCCCTCTATGTGGCTGAGTACACCCTCCTCTTGTAGTTGAGCCATGACCGTCATTGGCAGGTCAGTGGGAGGGATTTACCCAGGCCAGTCAGCTGCGGGGACTGGCTGTGACCACTGACCACCAACCTCTGCCCTCTGTGGAGGATCAGTTGTGTGGAGACAGGGTGGTGGTGCTCCAGTTTGGTCTATAGATGTCCACTGGGTGGACGGGCTCTGGGGTTTCCCTGTGTTTTGCCTGGGGCTACCCTGTGTGATCTATAAAGCAATCTGATATGGCTGCTACTTGTTCTGGGTTTGGGGATTGCTAGGTGAAGACAAGCAGGTTGGATGCTGCTGGTGCTGGGCCTGGGGCCAATTAAAAAATAACAATAAAAACAAACTCATAGATACAAGCTCATAGATGATTGCAGATGGCAGGGAGTTTGGGACATGGGCTGGGTGAAAAAGTGAAGAGCTTAAGAACTACAAATTGGTAGTCACAAAATAGTCCAGGATATGTAAAGTATAGGATAAGAAATATAGTCAGTAATACTGTAATAACTGTGTATAGTACCAGGTGGGTACCTGAAGTATTCAAGATCACTTTATAAAGTACATGATTGCCTAACCACTATGCTGCACATCTGAAACGAATGCAAAATAATATTGAATGTAAACTGTAATTGGAAAATAAAAAAATTATTTTAAAGAAAATTAAAGTGTTTGAGGAACTCATGATTTTAGTGGAACTCACAAAAAGATAAAAGAATAAAACAGCAGCCTTTTAAAGCCTCTTCTTTCCTGAGGAATATACATTCATTTTCTTATAAAAAATGGTTTATTGGATTATAGTTATGTAATAGATTATGTGAATTCTTCTATCTCCTTTTTCTAAAAATTCTCACCCAAGGATATTTTTTAATTGATTGTTTTTAGAGAAAGAGAGAGAGGAAGGCAGGGAGGGGGAGTGAGAGTATGAGAGAGAGAGACCGCTATGTGAGAGAGAAACCAATTCATTCTCTCACATACATACTCCAACCTGGGATCAAACCTGCCCCCTACATATGTGCCCTGACTAGGAATTGAATCTGCAAACTTTTGGTGTATTGGGTGATGGGCCAGAGGTCAGAAGGACTGCGTTATTTATATCACTAAGCTCGCCACTAAGTATGTGATTGATGCTTAGTAATGTTAGTTGAATGAAAGAATAATGGACTTCTGCCTCTTACTGTGTGTAGGAGTTGGAGGAGCTTTAGAGAATGATGATCCTTCCAAAATGGTTATGGTATTGGCAGCTACTAATTTCCCATGGGACATTGACGAAGCTCTGCGAAGGAGATTAGAAAAAAGGATTTATATACCTCTCCCAACAGGTATGATGCATTCCCTTTACAATATTTTGATTTTTTTGCCTCTTGTTACCCTTTTTCCCTCTTAATCACTTATTCCATTGACATTCTGGTTGAAGAAGTTTATAGCTTCACAAAACCTATTTGTAGGAGATGAGAGAACAGAAACCAAGGTACTCTAAATTATTTACATTCAGAGCCATGTTCATGTTAATAAATTAGGTAGGACATCTAAGTTTTTTATTTTAATCTTGAGTCTTTATTAAACCTTAAGTGTTTAAAAATAAAGTTTTCTTGAGATCGTTTTCAAAATATGATGTTTGAAAAATATTTTATCTTACTGATGAATATAGAAATTTTCATAAGTGAATTTTCTTTTTATATTGCGATATACAGGGAAATGTATAAATCTTTAGTGTATAATTTCATGAGTTTTAACAAATGAATGCTTCTGTTTAATTATTATCCTACTCAAGATGTAGGACATTTCTGTTACCCCAAAAAGTTTCTGTGCCTCCTACCAGTTACTATAAACCCTCCTTTACTTTCCTGATTTTTATCACCATGGGTTCATTTTACCTATTACTAAACTCCATATAAATGGAATCTGATGTGTGTACTTGTCTGTTTGGTTACTTTCACTCAACATAATGTATTTTAGATTTATCCATGTGGTTACATGTATCAGCAGTTTATCCATGATATGATACTACATTTGTTTATTCTCTTTCTGGTGGACATTTGTGGTTTTTTTTTCTAGGTTTTGGCCATTATGAATGAAGCTACATTCTGTATAAATCTTTTTATTTATGAATGTTTTCAGTTTTTTTGGGGAATGTAGATAAGAATAGAATAGGTGGATTATAGTGTAAGTATATGTTTAACTTTGTAACGCCCAACCTGTTTTCCTAAGTGTTTGTGCCATTTCATACTTTGCTCATCAGTAAATGAGATTGAAGTATTTGCACATCCTTGTCAGCATTTGGTATAGCTCGTATTTTAATGCTAGTTGTTTTAGTTAAGTGTGAAATGTCATTTTACTATGGTTTTTTAGTATACATTTCTGTGGTGACTAATGATGCAGAGTACCTTTCCATGTGCCTTTTGGTCATTGGCATACCTTTTGCACAGTGTCTTTTCAAGTCTTTTGTTCAGTTTTTAATTGGTGTATTTGTTGTTTTATTAATGCTGTGTAGTTCTTTATCATATACATGGATTGTTAATAATTTTCTTCTAGTTTGTGGCTTCCCTTCAATTTTCTTATGGTGTCTTTTGATAAGCAGAAGTTCTAATTTTGATGTAGCCCTCTTGTCAAGTTTTTCTTTGCGGCTAGTGCTTTTAGTGTCTTAAGAAGTCTTCGCTTACCCTTGGAGGACACAGGATTTCTCCTTCATGATGTTTGGGGTTGACTGAGAAGGTTCCGTGGCTGAGGGTGACCCCAGATGCCTGGTAATTGAGGCCCAGGGCCCCAACTAGGGCACCTTCATGTTACCTGTGGCCATTCAATTTGACTTCAAGATAGTCAGATTTCACACCTGGTAGCTCAGGGCCAGGTGTGATTGTTCCCTGGGAAAGGAGCAAGGTGCGTTATTATTACCTAGCCTTTCTCTAGGCTGAAGCATTTACAAGCCCAGCCATTTTTAGGAGGATAGGAATTGGATTGCCTTTGAGTGGGAGAGTGGCAAGTCCCCCTTGTAGGAGCATGTGCTGGATAAGAGAGACTTTAGCAGACATCTTGGTAAATTAAATCTTCCAGGGTCAATGAAAGGCAAGAAGTCAAGTAACCAGACAGGTGGAGCTTGGTGTTACCATAAATGTCTTCTTAGTTCTTGTATCTAAATATGGCGGTATCTACCTGGTCAGCCTAATGGACTCCTTTCTCTAGACCCCTTTATTTGATTCTGTTTTGCTTTTGGACTAACCTCCGTAATTACCAAGGCATCATCAAGTCTCATATTTCCTGTCACATCAGGTTCAGAGTTTTTTCTTTTGTTTTTGTTTTTCCTTCAAGTTCACATCTTTGCTCTCCTGCTTGAGTCATTTGCCTTTTGTAGTGTTCTGTTGTACTTTTCTACTGACCTTTTTTTACTCTGGTATATGTGTGCTTCTTTCTACTTCTATTATTTATGATGCTGCCATTCCCTAGATTTTTTCTTCCCTTCCACATGAATTTTATTATTTTTCAAAGTCAACATTAAAGTTTTGATTCCAAGGTCTTCTTTGCCCTGGCCTATCTCCCTGTGTGGACTTTGTGTCCCTGGGTGCTTCATCCATGTTCATTGTTTCCCAGGTATTGCTTCGTAGAAGGGATCTGGGTTTTCTCAGTCTCCCTGTACTCCTGTTTATTGACTGATTCATGGTGGTGATGATAGGACAACAGACATTTGTTGAGTGTTGACTCTGGGCCAGGATTTCAGTGTATTACCTCATTTAACTCTCAACAGTCTTACGAGGTAGATTCTGTTCTTATCTTTATTTTACTGTGAAGAAACTGAGGCACTGAGAGTTAAACCTCCTGGCCAGGGCAGCAGAACAGGGACATGAATACGGTCTGGCCCCAGTGAACCACCATCCACTTCACTGAGCTGCCTAGAGTGCATAAGGAGAATCGTTATCACAGTGTTTGTTTATATCTAGAATGTGTGTTAACTTGGCTGTGTAGCAATGGCAGATCTTTATACTCTTAACACATTAACCCCTCATTATATCCTTTCACAAGGTTATTACATATCATTAATTCAGTTTATAAAGCTAAAGTTGAAGTATAAAAACTGAGTTCATAAATCCTTAGAATCTTTTAACAAATCACTGATACAGCCAGTACTAAAAGTTAATTTTTCCCAAATCATAGTTATTAGGGAAAAGGAGGACGCTTCCATCCAGGCTTCGGAATACCAGGCCTCCACTTATGAACAGATTTATGCTCCAATGTTCATTTAAGTTATCCGTGTAGAACTTCCTTTGGGGGAGAGTACATTACATTAAACTTGGTGTTGAAGTTCTAATGGCAGGCTACAGTAAAACATTTGCTTTACAAATACAGTGGCTTTCTAACCCTGCTACTAAATGAGCAAAGTGTAATAATCTCTCACTAACTCAACTGCTCCGTGTAGGGCACAGTGAAATGAGTTCTCAATTCGGAGCTCCTATGGGGCATTAGGAGCACAGCTTTCTTCTGTAGCAGGGGACTCAGGAGCTTCCTCCCCTCCCCTCTTTCTTCCCACACTCTGCTGACCACTGAGTAGAGGAGTGCTTTGGTCCTACACCTGCCATGTACCGTGGTGAGTTGCAAGGAGGGCTCGTTGGCAAGGGATGGCCAAAGATGGGGAGCTCCCAAGACCAAGGAATTTTAGAAGTAAAGGTTTGTTAGTCACACCTTTTCTTTTTGGTAACTTCAGACAATACCTGGTTGTTTCTCTTTCTACTGTGGCTGCTCTTTGCTTTGCTTTGTCTTACTTTATGTGTACACTCATGCGTGTGTGTGTGTGTGTGTGTGTGTGTGTGTGAAATGTTACTCAGATACAGAAAAATCTCAATTTGTACAATATTTGGCAAAGCAAACAACCATATAAGCACCTCCTAGGACAAGAAATGGAGCATCGTCAGACCTCAGAATCTCCCCAGTATGTTCCTTCCCTAGCACAACTCTCTTCCTGCCCCCAGCAGTAATCACTGCTATTCTTTTTATGGGAATAATTTATTGTTTTTCCTTATAATTTTATCACCTAACAATGTATCCCCAAACAAATATTTTTACCTCCTGTGGAACTTTGTATAAATAAAATCACAGTAATTGTGTATTTGTATCTTGCTGCTTTTACTCAGTATATTTTTCAGATTCATCCATGTTGGGACATATAGATGCAGATTACATTTTCCCTGTGTAGTATTCTATTGCATTAGTAGTCTTCTGAGGCCACCATAACAAAGTACCACAGACTAGGGAGCTTACACAACAGATGATTATTTTCTCACAGTTCTTGAGGCTAGGGTCCAAGGTCAAGGTGTCAGAGGATTGGTTTCATTCTTGGGCCTCTTTCCTTGGCTTGTAGATGGCTGTTTTTCCCATTGTTTTCATGTGGTCTTCCCCTTATATGTGTGTATCCAAATCTTCTCTTTTTATAAAAACACATAGGAGTGGATTAGGGCCCACCCATATGACTTCATTTTACCTTTAATTGCCTCTTTAAAGGCATCATCTCCAAATACAGTCACATTCTCTTGGAGGTTAGGACTTCAACACAGGAATTTGGGGGGAGGATACAATTCAGCCCACAACAGCCATTATGTCATTGTACCACAGTTATACATCATATTACTTGATGGGCATTTTGGTTGTATAAGTTTTATGCTGGGATGAACAATGCAGCTCTGAACATTCTTACGCTGCATAGTAGTGCAGATGCCTGAGCTTCCCTGGGCCAGGACGGAACATTCCCTTCTGGGAATGGAACAGCAGGTTGTGTCGCATCGCTGGAGCCTCAGGAGGTAATCCGGTCTGTCTTCCTGAGGGGTCACTCCAGCTCTCACCCCTGCCAGCACTGTGTGAGAACTCTTGTGGTTTCATATTTTGTCAGCACCTGGTATTGGCAAACTTTTAAATTTATACCAGTGTCTTGGTATAAATTATTGTGGCTTAGTTTATATTTCTTTTATTATTAAAGAATTAAATATTTTTTATTCATTGGCCATTGGATTTTGTAGTGGATTTTGTGTGTTTTTACTGTGTTACAGTGTCTTTTGATAAATAGGAATGCTAATTTTAATGCAATTAGGTTACCAGTTTTTTCCTTTGTAGTCTGTTTTTTGAATAGATATCTTAAGAATTCCCTCTCAGAGCCCTGGCTGGTGTAGCTCAGTGGATTGAGCACAGGCCTGCGAACCAAAAGATCTCGGTTCAATTCCCCGTCAGGGCACATGCCTGGGTTGCAAGCCAATTCCCAGCTGGGGATGCACCAGAAGCAACCATACATTGATATTTCTCTCCTTCTCTCCTTCCCTTCCCTTCTAAAGATAAATAAATAAAATTTGAAAAAAAAAAGAATCCCTCTCAGAGGTCATTAAGATATCTTCCTGTTTTACCTTGTAAAATGCTTATAACTTTGCATCTTAATGTTTAGATTAGTAATATATCTGGCACTGATTTTTTTATGTACATGTGAGGTAGGACCCAGCTTCATTTTTGCCTGTGGATAATCAGTTGTTCTGGCATGGTTTATTGAGAAGACACTACTTCCCCACCTGGCTGTACCACCCAGTCCTAAGTCAGGCATGCACAGTAAACACTCTGACATGCTTCCAAGCATCTATTTTGTGTCACTGATCTGGTTGTCTCTGCAAGAGTATCACACAGATGTAAATTTTACTGCTTTTGACAGGGCGGTTTTGCCCACCTTGCTGCTGTTCTTCTAGTGTCTCGGTTGTTCTTGGTTCTTTTCATTTCCATACATTTTAGTTGGTTCCACAAACAGGTGTGTTTAGGTCTTTACTGAAATGCCTTGGTTCTATAAGATCACTTGAGGGAGAATTGTCAGTGTCATGAAAGACAAAAAATAAACACTGTGCACTGTTTTACATTAAAGAAAAGTAAAGAACTATGACTAAATGCAACCGGTGGTAGGTTTTAAGAAAGTTATAAAGGTCTGGGACAAATGGGGACATTTTAATCTGGATTGTATATTAGATGATACTAATGTACCAGAGTTAAGTTTCCTGAAGAGTGTGATAATTGCATTTTTACTTCTGTTCTTAGTACATACTGAGTTTAAGATGAAGTGTTGTAATACCTACCGCTAGCTCTTAATTCAAAAAAGGGTGGAGAGGAAAGGAAAGAAGGGAGTGGTAATGGCAAAATGGTGACAATTGGTGAATCTAGATGAAAAGTAAATAGCTGTTTATCGAGTTCTTATAGATTTAAACATTTTCAAAGTAAACATTGGGGAAATTAGATCATTTTATAGGTCAGGAAGTGGGAGAGAGCCAATTCCAGACTAATTATGCATTATTTTAGTGTGCTGTATTAAGCAGATTTGCAACTTAAACTGATGGTAAAAGAGCAAGCATGATTGCTTATTTGAAGAGTTATGTGGTTAGTTTGAGCTTTCTCAATCCACATTTCAGACATACTAGAACAGCAAATGTCTGTGGGCTGGCTCTCCAGGTAAAACATGCATTAATAAGCATTTTGTGCCAATTACAGCTTTCCAGAAAAAGAAAATTGGATTTTTAAAAAATGACTGGTTAGAGTTGTGTAACTCTTTTCCTGTATCATACTAAAGAGGTAAGCAAAGTAATTCAAAGGAGTTAGCAATCTATGCAGTCTAGTTTTAAAAAACTTTTTTACTAAAAGCATTTCTGGTGCTTGAATACTAATGGTTTTATTTTTATAGAAAGACCTGAGACCCATTTTTCTCATAGCAAGTATCTTCACAATCTTTAAGGAAAACTCTGAGTTTCTTTCTATGTTTAGTGATTTCAACCAAGGCATGTAGGAAGTTACATGATTCCAGGAGCCATGCAGTTGGAATGCCAGTGGACCCATAGTTACTGAATCTCTTTCCTCTCCTGAATGTTAATATGTGATTTCTCATCAAAATGATTTATTAAAAAATGTGTAACCATATCAAAAAATCTTCTCACAGCAAAAGGAAGAACCGAGCTCCTAAAGATCAATCTTCGTGAGGTTGAATTGGATCCTGATATTCAGCTGGAAGACATAGCAGAGAAGATCGAGGGCTATTCTGGTGCTGATATAACTAATGTTTGCAGGTATTTTTTTGATGATCTGTGATCTCAGTGGTTAGTTATAGGATTGGCAGGAGGACTGGTCAGAAAGTCCACATAGTTATTGGCCCTTGACATGAAAACAGCCAACCATTTCTTTGGAATGATCTCCTGTTTGTCTTGTTTTTTCTACGTACCTTCATTATTCATTGTTAAAATGAATAAGGATGTGACAATATGGTCACCTTCTCTATCCTTGTGGTTTTTGAAATCATTGTGTCTAACTTCATAATGACTTTGACAACCTAAGGTTAATCTAGCCCCAAATTGGAGCCTGGCTGCATTGATGTGAAATAGTATTGTTTAGGTTTGATTGGCATTATTTTACTATATGCAGATGAACAAAGTTGACCAGTTTAAACTGTGAAATTTCCCTTTTAATTTAGTGATACCATAATTTTAGACAATGTACATCACTCATTGAAGATGATTTTTTTCTTTCAGTTCTTCTCTAATGATATTTAAGTTTACATCAGTGGTCTTTCTTTAAAACCACAACTGTGTTTCACACTTTTTTACTGGTATTTTTCCTCTGTGCATTTTAGTGGCATAGAGTAAGTTCAAAATAGTTTTAATATCACTGTTTAAAATATAAAAATGTGAAATTTTGTTTGTCTTGGCATCCTAATAGCTGTTTCATAAGCACTAATTGTCCATTTTTCCAAAACCTTCATAATGCTTTACAAGTGATCAGAATGCACTTAAAAATTGGATCTGGAGAAAAGTCAGATTTTTTTGTCCCTTTAGTTGCCAACAAATTCTCCATGGAAGGAATTCTACATCTACTCTATGCAGATAAAGCATGTCGCAGAGAGAGAGGTGCCTGGCTTTACCTCCTCTGATTAGACTGCAGCAGACAAACCAGTATAAGATTTGAATTATCTTAACATTTAGCCATATGTTCATTTCCAAGTGTACAATTCAATATTTCAAAATTCTACTTTAGTTTTCTAAACTTCTTGGCTGTCTTTGAGGAATAAATGGGGAAAATAAAATTCAGTATTATCTGAGCCCAGCATGGACTTCGGGTTCATTAACAATGCATTTTACGGTTAAGCTGTTTGCATCCTCATTTAACCTTTCCTAAACTGTCAGGATGTCTCTGAAATGAGAAAATTCTACACAACATCATAAAAACATAAGACATGATCTTTTTAATGTTTTTCCTTAACTTTGTTACAACTGAAAGTGTTTACAGCATTTGCAACAATGAGTATTCACTGACTTTGGTACATTTTTAGGGATGCATCCTTAATGGCAATGAGACGGCGCATCAATGGCTTAAGTCCAGAAGAAATCCGTGCACTTTCAAAGGAAGAGCTTCAGATGCCTGTTACCAAAGGAGACTTTGAGTTGGCTCTTAAGAAAATTGCAAAGTCTGTCTCTGCTGCAGACTTGGAGAAGTATGAGAAATGGATGGTTGAATTTGGATCTGCTTGAATTTTTGTCAGCTCTTTCATTCTGGTATTTTTATTTATAAAATGTGAAGAAATTCATGCATTTAAAAAATAGGTTTGGAAACTTTTAATTGGGGAGATTTTTCACTTAAAGGCAAACAATCTAAAACTACAGAGTATAAATGTAGTTGGAAAATAAGAGGAGCTCACGTAGGAAACCTGATGGTCCCTGTCACCCAACTGTGTGCGTTAATATGGCAACCCCAAACCAGGATGCGAGGGCAGTGGAAGAAAGGGACCAGTGTGCTATTGTGGAAGCTCGTTTACAAAAGATTTAGAAGGACCTCTATTTCTCACTTGCATTTGTTATCTTTTGCTTTTTGTGTTTTTCTATTCTTTTCTCTAAACATGAGGGCTCTACACGTGTTGACTATTAATATCAAAACTGAGGTTGTATCAGATTCATTATTCATTGAGAATGATAGTTGTGGATTAAATAATGAATTTACTAGTTAAACCTCTAGAATTCAGCTCTTTACTATTAAAGTCTATTATGTGGTCTGAATTTTTACCCTTCGTCCCCCACCATTTCTTCTATCATTAGCCTTTCATCACTTATTGAGTGCTGGGTGAGAATATCCTCATGCTTTGGTGGTTTTTGAGTCATTTTGCCAGGTGACTTCTCTAGTTGTGAGTATTTTTGCTGGTACTTCCCATATTTCATATTGGAAGGGTGGGAAGAATATTATGGTACAGTGCACTTCTTCATTCTAGACCTCTGGGTTTGTTTTCGCTTTTCTTTAAATTCGGTCAAACAGATAAACCCATTACTTTTTTCAGCTCTAACATTGTTTGATTTTTGTTGAATTTGACCTTTTAAAAAAATATTTTATTTATTTATTTTTAGAGAGAGGGGAAGGGAAGGAGAAAGAGAGGGAGAGAAACATCAATGTGTGCTTACCTCTCATGTGTCCTTTACTGGGGACCTGGCCTGCAACCCAGGCATGTGCCCTGACTGGGAATTGATCCAGCAACCCTTTGCTTCACAGGCCCATGCTCAATCCACTGAGCTACACTGGCCAGGGCTGAATTTGACTTTTCTATTATAAGTAAATACTTTTGTATTCTGAACAAGTCTACTCTCTTGTGACTAATGCAAAACAAACAAAACCAAATTTATAGTTTTTCAGATAGCTTATTTAACAGAATAGCATTGTACATAATGAATAATGCTCATTTGAAATTTTTTTAATTGTGCTTTGTCAAGGTTGATAACTTGGGCACAAAATAGAGAGATTAGGATAGAGAGATGCCATGCTTAATCAGTTCAGCAGGAATTAGACTGAACGAGGCCAGAAAAAGTAGACAACCTATGTCTAATCACAAATGGAGTGAGTCTTGTGGTGTTTAAAATTACATTTGTTTAAAATCACATTTATCCTATTTCGATTGGGCAGCCTATGCTTTAATGGTCAAGCTTTTAACATTTTTATTTGATGATATTCTGACTTTTCAATTTTAGAGAGTACCTATTGGTTTAAAAAAAACATCCATAACTCTTTAGATACTTTATAAAACACCTTTTAGTATCTTAGGAGATTTTTTTTCCTACTAAGAACTATGTAATTTACAGATAACTTAAATCTGACTAAATTCCAATATTCATCTTATGCTATAAATTACCCACTTTCTTCTGAGGGATAGATTATAAGAATTTATAAGTTTTTTAAGATTTTAAAACCATTGTTTTATTTTAATTTGAATTCATCTTAAAAATTAGATGAAAGAAGTTTCCTTTTATTCATTTCTTTCTACCCATTTTTATTTTTATTTTTTAATTGTTATATGTCAATTATAGTTGACATACAATATGTTAGTCTCAGGTACACAATCCCTTAATTAGATATTATATAACTTTCAAAGTGATTATCCTGATAAATCTAGTACCCATGTGACGCCATATGTAATAATTACAATATTATTGACTTATATTCCCTATGCTGTACTTTACATCCCCATGACTATTCTATAACTGACAATTTGTACTTCTTAATCCCTTCACCTTTCTTACCCATCCCCAAACCCCAATCCCTTCTGGCAACCATGAATATGTTCTCCATATGTGAGTCTGTCTCTGTTCTACTTGTTTATTTTGTTTCTTAGATTCAGTTGTTGATAGATAACGTACATATTGTCATTTCATTGTTCATATTTTTTTATCTTTTTTTTTTAAAGAAGACCCGTCAACATTTCACTTAGTACTAGTTTGGTGGTAATGAACTCCTTTAGCTTTTTCTTCTGTGGGAAACTCTTTATCTGTATTTTGATTCTACATGATAGCTTCACTGGGGAGTAATCTTGATTGTAGGTCCTTACTTTAAATCACTTTGAATATTTCTTGCCAACCCTTTGTGGCCTGCAAAGCTTCTTTTTTTGAAATATTTAATTTATTTTTAAAAAATATATTTTATTGATTATCCTATTATAGTTGTCCTATTCCCCCCCCCTTATTCCCCTCTACCCTACACACCCCTCCCACCCACATTCCCCCCCTTTAGTTCATGTCCATGGGTCATACAAATAAGATCTTTGGCTTCTCCATTTCCTATACTATTCTTAACCTCCCCCTCTCTATTTTCTACCTACCATTTATGCTACTTATTCTCTGTACCCTTTTCCCCTCTCTCCCCTTCCATGTGATCCCAAATTCTGTGATTCTGTTCCTGTTCTAGTTGTTGGCTTAGTTTGTTTTTCTTTTAGGTGTGGTTGTTAATAACTGAGTTTGTTGTCATTTTACTGTTCATATTTTTAATCTTTTTCTTAGATAAGTCCCTTTAACATTTCATATAATAAGGGCTTGGTGATGATGAATTCCTTTAACTTGACCTTATCTGGGAAGCACTTTATCTGCCCTTCCATTCTAAATGAGAGCTTTGCTAGATAGAGTAATCTTCAATGTAGGTCCTTGCCTTTCATGACTTTGAATACTTCTTTCCAGCCCCTTCTTGCCTGCAAAATTTCTTTTGAGAAATCAGTTGACAGTTTTATGGGAACCCCTTTGTAGGTAACTCTCTCCTTTCCTCTTGCTTCTTTCAGGTTTCTATCCTGATCTTTAATTTTGGGTAACTTGATGATATGCTTTGGTGTATTCCTCTTTGGGTCCAATTTGTTTGGGATTCTCTGAGCTTCCTGGACTTCCTGGAAGTCTATTTCCTTTGCCAGATTGGTGAAGTTCTCCTTCATTATTTTTTCAAAAAAGTTTTCAATTTTTTGCTCTTCCTCTCCTTCAGGTACCCATATGATTCTGATGTTGGAATGTTTAATGTTGCCTTGGAGGTTCCTATGCCTTTCCTCATTTTTTGGAATTCTTGTTTTTTTCATTCTGTTCTGTTTGAATGTTTCATTCTTCCTTCTGCTCCAAACCACTGATTTGAGTCCTGGTTTCTTTACTATCACCATTGGTTCCCTGTACATTTTCCTTTATTTCACTTAGCATAGCCTTCATTTTTTCATCTGATTTGCGACCATATTCAACCAATTCTGTGAGCATCCTGATTACCAGTGTTTTGAACTTTGCCTCTGATAGGTTGGCTGTCTCTTTGTTGCTTAGTTGTATTTTTGCTGGAGCTTTGATCTGTTCTTTCATTTGGGCCATTTTTTTTGTCTTGGCACACCTGTTATATAATAAGGGGCAGAGCCTTAGGTGTTCGCCAGGGCAGGGAACCCATGTTGCTTCTTTGTGATGCTGTATATGGGGGAGGGGTCTGAGAGGGAACAGTGTCACTTGCTCTGCTCTCTATGTGCTTTCAGTCACTTGCCCAGCTACCCACAAGCAATTTGGGTCCTTCTGGTGCTGATTCCCAGTGAGAGGGTTTGTGCATGCCCTAGGACCCTGTGGGTCTCTCCAACAAATTCTCCTGTGAGGCAGGGAGTTTCTCCTGCTGCTTCAACCCCCACAAGTATTTTCAGTCAGAGGCTTTGAGGCTTTATTTTCCCATTCTGGACCCCTGGGTTTCGCAGTCTGTCTCCCTACCCAGTTGTTCTTCCCAGTTTATCTGCACACAAATATGGGACCACCCAGTCTGCCAGCTGCCACCTTGCTGCTAGTCCTCTCTGCCCAGCTGCCTGTCTCTGCCCATCTTTGCCTCTCCTACTGGTCTGAATGAATGTTTCTTTTAACTCCTTGGTTGTTGGATTTCCATAGAGTTCAATTTTCTGTTATTGAATTTGTTGTCCTTTTGGTTGTTTAAGGAGGCACAGTGTGTTTGCCTACACCTCCATCATGGCCAGAAGTTCTCTAGACTTCGAAGATTTTGTTGAGAAATCAGCCAACAGTCTTATGGGAACTCCCATGTAGGTAACTAACTGCTTTTGTCTTTCTGCCTTTTAGATTCTCTGTGTTTAAGCTTTGCATTTTTATTTTGATATGTCTTGGTGTGGGCCTCTTTGAGTTCATCTTATTTGGGCCTTTCTGTGCTTCCTGGATTTGGATTTCCTTCACCAAGGTGAGAAAGTTTTCTGCCATTATTTTTTTGGATTGGTTTCCAATTTCTTCCTCCCTCCTTCTCCTTCTGGGACCCCAATGTTGTAAATGTTGATACACTTGAAGTTGTTCCAGAGGCTTACAGTATCCTCACTTCTTTGGATTCTTTTTTCTTCTCTCTGTTCTGATTTGGTGTTTTTTGCTTCCTCATATTTCATACTGCTCATTTGATACTCATCTTCATCTACTCCACTGTTGATTCCCTGTAAATTATTCTTCACTTCAGTTAGTGCATCCTTCATTTCTGACTTTTCCTTTTTTATGGTTTTGATATTTGTTTTTATGCAGTTGAAGTTCTCACTAAGTTCATCTACTCTTTCCCCAAGTTCATTGAGCATCCTTATAAGCAGTGTTTTGAACTCTGCAGCTAGTAGATTACTTGTCTCCATTTTGTTCTTTTTCTGGAATTTTGTTCTGTTCTTTCATTTAGGACATATTTCTTGCATTTTTTAAATTCTCATCTGAGCATATATTTATTGATTTTAGGGGGAACAGGATGAGAGAGGGGGAAGAGGAGAGAGAGAGACAGAGACAGAGACATCGATTGGTTGCTTCCTGTATACTCCCCAACTGAGATCAAACTCGCAGCCTGAAAATGTGCCTTGACTGGATTGAATTCGAAACCTTCTGGTGCACAGGTTGGTGCTCCAACCAACCAAGTCTCCTGGCCCAGGCTGTTTCTTTCATTTTTAATTAAAGAAATAATCCCACTAAGATAATCTCACAAACTTGCCATCCAGTAAAATTTTTTTTCTGAAGTACTAGGAGCAGTCATTGAAACTTGTTTGTATTCTTTAGTTAATTAGACCATTTTTTCTGGTTTTGTGTTACTTCTCTTGGCATGTATTTCATTTTTGAAAAAATTCTTCATGGATAGTTATATAGTAATTGTGATTTAAAAAATTGTGATTTTTTAAATCACAATTAAAAAAATACTGCTTATTAGTCAAGCAGTATTTGTAAACTCAAGCTTCCTGGAAGCTTATTTTAAGCAAGTTAAGTGAGTCAAGCATGCTTTTTTGTTTGGTTCACAGGCCCGTGCTCAATCCACTGAGCTACACCAGCCAGGGCAAGCATGCTTTTTTGTTTCCTTTGTTTCTTGTTTTGTTCTGTTGGTGGATGCTGAACATACCATGCATCTTCAGCCCCTTAAGCCACCCGGCGGGACCTCTCGGGTGTTCTGTTTTGCCTTGGCAGTGCATTGTGTGCACAGCATCATTACTGCCAGGCAGCGCGTCGCTTTACCCAGAATGAGAGTGTTGTTGCATTTTATTTTTTTCTATGCTGCATTATCAAATTAGAAAGGTTTGGTCCCTGTCATTCATCTGGATTTTACAACACTGAGGTGTTAGGACTAGGTTTGTGCAGTTCTGTCTCACACACACCTGATCAGGTCATTCCTACATTCAGCAGACTTGCTTTGGGTGATTCCTGTGTCCAACAGCCCGGTGAGGGGTGGGGCAGGGAAGAGCCTGATGGGAGCTTTATGCTTATGGAGTTGGACCATGCAGCACAGGCCTGACTGGGCACTTTTCATAACTACACAGTGTGGCCTTGAGTGCAGCTAGTGAAACGAGTTTGGGTTATAAATGGAGACGCACAGTAACCTGAGTGTGCTTTGGAAAGAAAATAAGTAAAAGGTTTTCTCTGTTTTGCTCTTTAAATCTGTTTTAAAGTTAGAACTGATATCCGTTTATCTGAAAAATATAACATACAGATCTGGCTAGTTTTATTAATCAGTTTTGTGATTTCTAAGCTACATGTTTATTGTAAACATGTACACATGTAATTATGGTAGACATGTAATGTTACATGTTATATGTAAACATTTTGTTCTCATAAGTTCTTCATTGTTTAAAGGAACTAATATTGATGAAATGTAACAGACAAGTAGCTCTTTAGTGTAGACTGAAACTTTTTAGTAATGCAGGTGGACAGTAGACAAGGGCATCACAGACTTTGTCTTCAGGTCAGTAGCAGCACAGGCATTGCAGAGGGACCAGACCCTCTTGAGCTTGGACCTTGGTCTCTAGAAATACCAGGACAGCTTGGAAGAGGACTCACATGTGGTCTAGCTACATAATTAGGGGCTTCATCTGAGCTCCTGAGACTGTAGTTTTTATGATATGATATTTGACTGTCAAAAAATAGGCTAAAATCACTATGCAAAAAATGAGCAGGTAAGTGTCTGATGAATCTAAATCTACTATGAACAAACAAACAGATACCTCAGGAAAAGTGCGTGTACAGCCCAAATGTACAATGTAATTGTTACTCTTCCACTTTGTTCCATGTAGCCTGACTGTATGATATATGAAATTATTGGTAGCCTCTAGGTTTGGAGCAGCTTGAGTTTGTTTAAATTCCTTCCTAGGAAGTTTCTGTGTACACTGTCAAAGTCACAGTGTGAGTCATAAGATGAAGCAGTTGACGTGGTGTTTCATGCTCCCTGAGCCTAACTTGAGAGGCACAGAAGGACTTAGGCAGGTCTTTCACGTTATGTGGGCTCTGGCTCCTTCAGTATTGTCTTGATTACTGAGTCTTTTTTTGTGTAATAGTAGATTCCCACTCTTCCTTCAATCTTATTGATGATAAATACCTTAGGATGCATCCTGTATGATAGGCATAAAGCAGTGGTCCCCAACCTTTTGGCACCAGGAATGGTTTTGTGGAAGGTAATTTTTCCACAGACCAAGGTGTGGGAGTGCTTTCGGGATGATTCAAGAGCACTACATGCAGGCTCACCTGCTGCTGTGAGCCTGGTTCCTAACAGGCTCCGACGGTACTGATCCACAGCCTCGGGGTTGGGGACCCCTGGCATAAAGCATTTAGGATACTTGCTGGCCTTTTCCAAGAAATGGCCATTTTAACTTATTTGAGGAAACAACAGTAATTATTTTAATATTTTTGTATCTTTTGTTCCTTAACTTTATGATTATATGATTTTTTTATATATCACTTAATTTGTGATGCACATAATATTTATGTGAATCTCAGAATCTGTCACAATAGAAAAGTAGGAATTACAGTTGGAGGGAACATTAGGGGATAAAAATGAACTCCAAATGTTTTATTCTCATCTTCATTAATTATTTTTGCAGGAAAAGCTAAAAACTCTGTTGTAGTGACTACATTTACTTATTTATATTTTTAGTTTTTTCATACTTATTTAATTTTTTTAGGATATTTGCTTTAATATTGTTTCTTAATATGAAAACTGTATGAGTATTTTAAAAGTAAAATCCCTAAGATGGTAGGTATGTTTTTAAACATTCACAAATTAACAATATATTTTTAAAATTTTTATTAGGTTCTGGACCACTCTAGCTTAACCATTTCTAAATTTCCAGGTGACTCATTAACAAAACAGAAAAAAAATTATGGTAGTATCATGAAATTTATTCTTTTAATTTTACCATTCTCATTTCTTAATTGACCTTATCTTATATGTGTGTATAAATAGGCTGGACACAACTTTGCTTTGTCACCAGCAGGGCGCAGGTGTTGGCACATGTGGAAATCTGGCACAAGAAACAGGAAATTAGCACAGAGGTTTTCCTGCAGTAAAAGGGCTCTCGTTTGATTTTATGTTCAAAACTATAAAATGCACTTTTGTCTTACAACCTTTGAAATGTCTAAACGTTGCCCTTTGGAAAACCTGAGCCTTTGCACATGTTATTTCCAGACTCTACCTCAGTTAACCAGGCTTAGTTTTAGGCAGGGAGGAATAGAAACTATTTAAACTCAGCTCATCATCCACGCAGATTTGTGTGTTTAAGTATTCCCTTCTTTCTCCTCTTGACCTCTTTCCATTGACTTTTTACTTTAACCCTGAAATCTTTATTTAAAATATTTGTCTTTCTTTCTCTGTCAAAGCCACATATTCAAATTAAGCTTCTGTGAAATGTCCGAATTACCCCTTCTGTCTTTGTTATGACCAGCTTTGTTACATACACGTCCTCCTAGTTTCTCACAGCTTCATAAATACAAGCTAACTTGACAGCATGAAAAGTCTGGGAACCTAATTTGTTTTCATTGTCTTAAGAACCTAAATACTTAATGAAAACACACAGGATGGACACACATTATTCGGATTGTGGATGAAGCAGAGTCACCTCCAGTTCTTATGGTGTGGACAGTGTCCAGCAAGATCACTTACGTTACGATGGTGTGTGTGTTGAGATTTTTGTTTCAGTGTTTGTCTCCCAGTATTTTGAACCTAATTTAAAGAAGATATTTCTAAACTGTATTTATTAAATGTGATTTTCCTTACATTTTGTGCTGCTAACTTTGCTGTGTCATGAGCTTACTTGTGTCTGTGCATAGGTTGTAATTTGGTAATAAATATTTAGAGTATTTCTTGTCAGAGTTTTCCTTGTGGTTCAGATTTGATGTGCAGCACTGGCCCACTTACTGACACCCAGTGGGAGTAGCAGATCCCTTACTAGTAGGCAATGGCTTTTCCAGAATTTTAGTTATTAAAGAACCACATTTGCCATGTATTATACGAATAATTTCAAGGTCAATGCAGGTAAGATGAGTGGCTTTTCAACTGTGATAACTGGTTTGATACATATACTTGTGTTGTTTATGTAGCACCATTGCAAATGAATATTCCATATGGTGAATTTTCCAGAGGACTCTGATTTGTCTGATTTTATGAGCCCCCAAAATTGTTAAATTCACAGACTTTATTATCTTTTTTTTTTTAGCAGTTTTAGACTTACAGAAAAATTAAACAGTGAGGTGGGTTCTTATATACTTTCTCCCTCCACCCCAATTTCCCCTTTTATTAACATCTTGCTTTGGTGGGGTACATTTATTATAATGGAGTCCATATGGATGCATGATTATGAGGAGGGGCCCAAAAAACGAGAATTATCTTCTGGAGACGGGTCCTTTGTAGTACTGACTTCCCCAACTAGATGAATATTCTAGGAACCCCTCTGTATCCGTGTAGCAGTTGGCATTGTTGTGAGAGGCTGTGTTCAGCTTCGGTGAATTTTTTTTTAAGACTCAGTGCATTTGCCCACTTCACGATGGATGATTTACAAGTGCATCTGACCACACTGTGCTGAGTGTTCAGCAGTTTTTGGCCAAAAACAGTGTGCCCACCATGTTTTACCTTCCCCGTTCACCCAATCTCACCCCAGGCAACTTTTTTTGGTTTTCCTGGATGTAAAAAGTCCTCAAAGGGAAATGTTTTGCTGATGTGGAAGAGGTGAAACAAAAAATGGCAGAAGCACTAAAAGACATCAAAATCAAAGAGTTCAAAGACTGTTTTAGGCAGTGGAAAAAATGTCTTGACAGGTATGTTGCATTAAATGAGGAGTACTTTGAAGATGACTGGAGTTTGAACATGTAAGAATACATACACAATTTTTTATAAATAAATTTTGTTCTGGAGTGTTCTCCCTCGTTACCAAAGTTCATAGTTTACATTAAGGCTTATTCTGTGTTGTACAGTTTATTGTGCTTTAACAAAAACATAATGTCACATATCCACCATTTGAGTATCACACAGAACAGCTTCTCTGCCCTAAAATCCTCTGCACTCACCTGTTCATTTTTCCCTCTTCCTCAACTTCTGGCAGCCACTGATCTTTACTGTCTCTGTAGTGGGCCTCTTCCAGAATGTCATGTAGTGGAAATCATGGTAAATAGCCTTTTAGACAGACTTATTTCACTTAGCAATATGCATTTTACATTCTTTCATGTCTGTGTGTGGCTTGACAGTCTATTCCTTTTTACCACGGAAAACAGAACACAATGGGGGCATGCCAGTTTGTTTGCTCACCTCCCGAAGGACATCTTGGTTGCTTCAAGGTTTAGCAATTAGGAATAAAACTGCTGCAAACATTCATGTGCAGGCTTTAGTGTGGATCTGCTAATTCCAGTAAATACCTAGGAGTACAGTTGCTGGAATATATGGTAAGAGTATATAAAAATTTTTCAGAAAATGCCAAGCTCTCTTCCAAAGTGGTCACACCATTTGCCTTCCCGGCAGCAGCGAGTGAAACTTCCTGCTGCTCCACGTCCTCACCAGCGTTTGGTGGTTTCCGTGTGCAGTTTTCCCAATCTGATAGGTGTGCAGTGGCATGTCATTGCTGTTTTAATTTCCAGTTCTCTAATGACTTGATGTTGAGCATCTTTTCATATGCTTATCTACTTTTAATCGTTTTTTATCGAAACCCTGCTAAAACACATCACACTTTTTCTCCGAGTTTTTAAAATAGAATTTGAACTTAACCTTTTCTTTCTGATTCAGAGTTACCCCCCAAACATACTCCTGTGGGCAGCTAGTAGAGGTAACAGGGCTTTTCTGCCTGTTACTAAATGGTCTTTGAGTTTTGGTGTTTACCTTCATAGCATTTTTACTCTTCTGTTATCACTCTGTCAACCTTTATTTCTCTTTCAATTTCCTACTCCCAGTCTTCAGTGAACCCAGTGAAACAGTTGTTAGAACCTCAGGTAGGTTAGGACAGTTGTTTGAGGATGAGGAGCGGTAGGGAGGGTTCTTGTTTGAGCTTTAGTGCTTTGTGTTCTTTCTCTTGGCTGTGACCTTTCAGGTTTTATTTTTGGCTTCTAGAAGTGTTCCAAAGAGGAGGTAGACCAAATGGAAAGTAGATATCTGTGCAAAATTATGTTGTCATGCAGTTGTGTAATGTTTATAGCTGGAAGGCACCTAGCAAGGTGACCCCTACCCTTTTTTCTTGCTGTGACCATTAATGAAGGTTTGATCTCTTAAAGGTATAAAAGAAAAGAACTAAGGACAAAAGTAGGAAACATTTACAGCTAGAGCCTTCTCACTCTCCCTTCAGTCCTTTCTACTCTCTTAAGTGCACACGGCCAGTGCTTCCCAGTAAGGTGATATGGTCACTGGCTCATGTGGGCGTTTGCTCAGAGAATCCAGGCATTGAAAAAAATACTCGGAAACTGTGAGATGAGAGCTGTGCCCAGCCATCATCAGCTGCTGCCTTTCCAGTGGACAGGCCGAAAGGCAGGGTGGACTCACGTCTCATCTGCCTGCTTCACTCAGGGCCAGCTCAGATGCTGGCAGCCAGTGCCAGTGGCTTTTCTCCCCTCCACTGTCAGAGTCAGCTGCACCTGGCCCAGACGGAGTTGGGGATTCACCTGAGATCTCCCAGCAACTTGTTCACAGCCATCACACCTACAACACCAGAACAGGTGGGAAAGCGGGCTGAGGGAGAGGAGCATGTGTTCAGTGCCTGCTGCCTATCCACCTCTTAACCTAATTTAATTTTTTTCTAAGATCTTCTCAGGACCTTTCACGTAAGTTTTGAGAGGTTTGGAGCATTGAGACCTGAACTTAGGAGCAAATGACCTGGTCTACTCTCCTTATCTTATGGGTGAAGGAGCTGAACCCAAGCAGATATTAAGATATGTGGTCAAGATCACCTTTTGAGGTGGCAAACAAGACATATCTGTGTCAGATCTTGGAGAATGCTGTGGTGGAAGGGAAAAGTGAGCCAGGCAGCAAAATGCGTATTAAGGAATTTTAAGCTTATGAAACATGTATGAACAGACTATTTACCCAAGTTGATGGTAGTTAAGAAATACAAGATAAATTGACATCATATGATTGGAACTAACATTTATAATGTTTGGTGTTTTATTAGATCCATATGTTAGCTCTAAGATGTATTTGCTATTGTTATCTTTTTGTAGAGGAGGAAATTGAGGCTTATTGAGTGACTTGCTCTAGTCATTTGGCTCTAAAGGAGTGGAAGGGGAATGGGATCTAGGTTGCTTTCATTCCAGAGCTGGTTCCTTTGCACATTCCAAGATTATTTTCAACAATGTAAAGTGCAGAGGCACTCAATTCTTGAAATGAATGTTACCTTCACTCATTTTTCTGAGGTTATTAATCACTTTTTACATTTTCTTAGTTGAAGTGCTTTTTTACTAGAAGACTTTTAGCAGCTGATTATATATCCAGTAACAATATTGATGCATATAATGGTAGGGAAAAACAATGTCTCTTGTGTTGTGGGGTTAAAATGAAGTTGGGGATATCGCTGTCATTTACTGTGTCCAAGGGTAAATACACACCTACTTGTGTTCAGGGCAGGCTTGTTGGGAACCACCCTACCTAGTTTCAAAAGCTATAACACCCCCCATGGCTAAGGCTGAGTAAAGAGACCTTGGGACCATAAGCCACTGAGGAAACAAAGCTTATCTCCCTGGCAGGGGTGCCACCTTTGCCCCCTTTTACTTCAACCTGCTTGGTCCTGGGCAGATGACTAGTTAGCCAATGACGAGTAAGATTCCTCAAGGGAGGGACAACCTAAGACAGGCACAATCATGAAGGGGCTCTCAGGGATGGACTTGGGGGACTATAGAAAAAGGGGGTGATGGACCCTAGCTTCTCAGCTTTGACATAGCCTGAGTCCTCATTCTGTCTGTAAGAAGTCTCCTAATCTCTTGGCTGCCTTACTTCCCCTGCCCGACTTAAGCCTGAAACAATGCTGGAGGTGGGTGCAGCCCTGTGCTGGAAAGGGCAGGTTCCCTAAGACAATCAGGCCTAAGAAAGAATGCATAAGATCCTTTAAAACCTGCTTTGCTAATACCCTCAATTTAAATAATATGAGTCCAAGCATGAAATGAGTTTGTTCCCCAAAGTTTTATGGCCCTTTAACTATTTGGCCCTGACTCAGAATAAGCCCTTGTAGTTCTTTGAATGTTATCTGTTGTTTAATCATTACTGCCTGACAGTGACTGATGTATGCTGAGTATTCCTGTGCAAATTAAACCCAATAAAAGCCCTTGAGAAATAGGCTCCTAGCCCTTCTCCTTTGAGAGATCGGCCACCACTTATTCTCACTTGTTAGACTTATTCGCATCCCCTGCAGGCTTTATGAAATGAGTCAATCATTCTAAGAGTTTCCATTAATTATGTATAGACCACCAACTTATATGACAGAGAGCTCTAACAGCTACTTTTATTAATAAGATTCCTATAGGCTTTGCCCACTGGTGACAAGTCCCGAGCTGTGTGTCGTCACCATCTGTTACCAAGAGAGCAGCCCCAGGATGCTTGGCTCTGGGTTCGGTGTCCGTAGCAGAAGCACTACCCCAGAGCTGAGTATAGCTTTCGATGTCATGATGCTTTCAATTAGCACATCTTAAATAGCTTCTTTAAACAAAATAACTAATCATGGTATGATACCATATTCCATAACATAAGTCCTGTAGTGGTAGTGATGATTATGAAATTAGAAAAGGGTTAATCAAGCTTCCTTTGGAGTTTGCGAGATATCTCAAGCTATTTTTTAACCATTTTGAAATATATTTTGTAATATTTTCCAAACATACTTTACTAAGCACTTTTTCTCTAAT